CTGCCTATGTGTATGGGGTGATCTGTTCCTCCAGCCTTTACTTGGTTTCAGCTCTTGGTCCCTGTTTCCAGCAAACACTTGCTGGAAACAGATGTGCCAATGTTCAGTTTCCTCCTGCCTGCCTAACATCCATTCTTCCCCTCCCTGTGGTTGGGGAGCGGCTTGAGAAAGCAAGATTGCGTCTGCTTTGCACAGACATGTCCAGGGGTTTCTTTCCTTCTCCATCACTGCTGGGCAGGGTGTGGGTTGCTCTGCTGCTCTCTAGAGAAGAAGCTGCTTCTGCAGTGAATCACAAAACCGAGTTTCCCTGTGATACAAGCAACCCAATGGGGAGGATCTCACACCTGGCTCTCAAGCTCACCGTTCTTGGAGCGTTCAAAGCACGCTGGGCTCTGGGGGTAGAAGTGCCATGGAGATTTAAACAAAGCTAAAATAAGTGATGCAGATATAGTAGCCATTGCCTAGTTCCTACATGTTGGATCCTGCAGCCCTAGAATGAGGCAGAATTTCAAGTGTAACCCAGGTGGTACTCAGAGATGTATGCCCTCTCCAAATGAAGGGATTTTAGTGGGTGCGGGTGCGCTGCGAGAGGCATAGCTGCTTATGACGTGCAGCTCCCCTCCTCTCCCTACAGAGCAGAGCCAGGGCACATGTGGAGGCTAAACTATATACAAATTTAATAATAAAGGACAGAGGTAAAATACAACATATATACAAGAGATATAGGAACTATAGGTAATATGGTTCTGAGCAAAGCCCTCCTGATACCGGTGAGGGATCGGGAGAGCAAAAGGACTCAGCAAACGTTATGCCTACTTATACTCTAAAGGGGAATGTTAAATGACAGAGCTTGAGGCGCAGATTGCACAAAATCAGGGGTGCAGGGCCCAAGCGCTGGGGTAGGGGGAAGGTAGGGAGAGTCCCAGAGCCCCCCTGCCCCTTTAACCTGCTCGGACACCCCAACTGGTGGTCACAGAAGGAGAGGGGGGAGTGAGGAAAAAGGTGTCCTCCTCTCCAGCGGGAATTTGCTCTTCCAGGGAACTCATCCCTCTGCCGACTGGGAGGGCGAGAGGGTCAGTTCTGTCTCCGGTCCGGGTCTTCACCTTGCCATCACCTAGTTGGTGAGGAAAAGGAAATCCCTCCCCCAGCAATCAATTTTGAACTTTTCAAAACCGGCAGGCCAGGCTGCTGCTGCCAAGCCCGTCACACAAGGAAAAACTCTTCTGCACGGCTCATTATCTCTTGTCTGAATTGCAGAGCCCAGCAGCAGAGAACTGCTGCCCCAAGACAACGTCACTTTGGTTGTGGTGCTCAGATCTAGGAGCTTGGGAAGTGGGTGGGACCACTGTAATGGCTGTGGGATTGGTCCTGGCATCCATGTACCTTGTGCAGTGATTGCTCTTTTCTGTTCCCCATAGCTCTGCCTTTGCAGCAACCCATTTTGCTCCCTCCTCTCTGAGCTCAAGGCACATCCAAGGGCCTATTTGCATGGGAATTCAAGCCAGACTGAGATATGAATCTATGCAGGGGGGCAACCAGCAGCCTGCCTGAGAAGTGGGCTTCCTGCTACATTGATGGGAATTGTTTCTGCTTTCCAAATGGCCCAGGGACCTGGCAGCATCTTTAGGAAAAGTACAGCAGCTGTTGCATTGGGGCACCCATAAGGCTGTAAGGGTTTCCAGATGTGTTGGCATTACTTGGGTCCCTCCTTAGCTTCTCAGCCTCGCTAACTAATAGACACACATGTTCAGCTCAGCTGCAGAGTGCACCTGGTTGAGCTGGCGCCAGCCTGACCACAACAGCAGCAGAACTTGCCTTTGCTGATGGGAAACACCACATCCTTGTTCAAGGCTTCAATGCCCTGCAGGGCAACCGCATCCTGAGGCTGCACTAGCACGTCTCGGTGTCACCTGCTATTGCAAGAGCCAGACGTGCTGCTCTGGCCTTTTTCATTCTGCCCTGCAGTGGGTGGGAGTCTCCTGTTGGGAATGGGGAGATGGGATATGATTTCAGCTGTAACAACCGACTGGAAAGGCCTTGATGGCCCTGGAGTAAGGCACCAGCATTGCATTCAGGAGCTCAGCCCCAGAAGGGCATACCCGTGGACAGATGACTTAATCTTTTCTGCCACTCTTTCTCAAGGATCCTGAGTATCCTGCTGCTTCTTTTCTCCCATGCATTGTCTTACTGATCTAGATCATAAACCAGCCTGGGGTAAGGGTGTCTGTTCAGCAACTAGCCCAACAGCCCCTGAATCCAGACATGGCCTTTCAAGGCTGTAGTGCAAGTGATACTCCAGGGCTCCTGGAGCTGAAGGCAAAGCACATCACATCACATCACCACTGAAGCTTAGATGAACATAAAGAAAAAGAAAAGTCATTAACCTCCCCCAAAACTTTTAATTCCAAACCTGTTGTGGCAGGAGGCTTTGAACCGCCTCCCCCCACACCCAGTTTTTCACTTGACCTCTGTGAAAGCAGCAGGCTTGTGTGCAATGACTTGATTGCTGTAGATCTGCCTTCTGCAATGGAAAATGGCTCTTCTGATGTTTTTTTTCCCCAATGGCTCTCCTTTCTGCATTGTGAGAGAGCAGAATCGCCAATTGTCTTCAAAACCGGGTTCTGTTCATAGTATCAACAGCTGGCCAAGTGCCCTCACCATTTGAGAACGTAATGGCAAGGCTCTGCCAGCTTCATCAGAGAAATTAAAGTGGAAAAAGGAGCGTAACTTGGTTGGAAACCATTTGGAAGCTGCTGTGATCATAGGGGGAAGGAGGAGTGTGCGTTACACACTGGGTTCAACTTTAATTTCCTTTGGCTACTCCCCCTTCCTTCCTCAGATGACTTTAACAGAGGGCCCAGTGTTACTACTCTTCAGAGTCTTCCTGGCCTCAGCAGTGGAGAGCAGAAACAGGACAGCTCCTCAGGATGGAGACAGCTCAAAGACAAGTCCCTACGTACCTTGCTCTGTCCATCTTCAACTTGTTATGCTGCTGCTTCCCACTTGGAATAGTTGCCCTGATCTTTTCTCTCAGAGTAAGTTTGACTTTCATTTGATTTTGTTTTGCTGCATTTTGGGCTGATATTTTTTCAGACTTCTGCCTTTCTAAAAATGGTCTTAACTACCTCTTAGAGAGAGAATGGGAGATGCCAACTCTAATCTTCAATGTAAACTTATCTAAAGCCTTTGGCACTTGCAGCCAGAAATTACAGGCAGTGGCATTTGGAAGCAGCTCTCCCCGACCCACCTTGCTTAAAGAAGCACTTGGGGAAGGTTGCTTGAGATTTTTCTTGGGAAAATTGCAATATGTCAAAGACAAGCTGAAGCAGGGGGCCGGGAGGGGCAACTTTAACCGCTGCCCCCTGCCCTGGGCCAAAGTGGAGTGCATGTGTGGCTTGCTCATGTGCTTTATGGGCAGGAAGATGCAAACCTGTTTTCTGTGTCCACTGTCCGTCTCAAAAATGCAAGGATGCACTTTCCTCTCCCGGGGATCAAAGACTGGTGCTCTTGGTAGGAGTACAGGTGCATTGATTGGTAGGAGTGTCACCGGCAGTGATTCTTCCCCTCTATTCAGCACTGGGGAGGTCACCTCTGGAGTCCTGTGTCCAGTTTTGGGCCCCCCCTGACAAAAAGGATGTGGACAAGTCAGAGAGAGTCCAGTGGAGGGCAGTGAAAATGGTTGTGGGGCTGGGGAACAGGACTGGTGAAAAGAGGCTGAGGGAACTGGGCTGATTTAGTCTGCAGAAGGGAAGACCGAGGGGGATTGAACAGCAGCCGTCTCCTCCCTGCAGGGGGGCTGCAAAGAGGATGGAGGTGGGCTGGTCTCAGTGGGGGCAGGTGACAGGACAGGGAGTAATGGGCTCAGGATGCAGCAAGGGAAGTTGAGGTTGGGTATTAGGAAACACTTTCTTATGGGGAGGGTGGTGAAGCACTGGAATGGGTTACTCAGAGAGGTGGGGGAGTTTCCGTCCGTGGAGGTTTTTAAGGCCCAGTTGGACAAAGCCTTGGCTGGGATGACGTGTAGGGGTGTCCACATAGCCTCTTGCATGAGCAATTCTCAGGTATCACGTGTGAGAGTGAGAGAACAGCTTGTACTTGTTCGTGCGTGTGCGTGCGTGCGTGCGTGCGTGTGTGTGAACAGCTTGTACTTGTTCTCTCAGCTTCTAAAGAGCTCTGCAGGCAAATGCATCAGTGAAACAGGGATGTGCTGCTCAGTTTCTCCCAGAGAACCCAGCCTCCCTGTATATCTGGTGTTGCTTCTTAATGAATTGTTAGGGAAATCCCTTCCAGTGACTTCAACAGATCTGGGATTTCTGCTCTCAGGAGCCACACGTTCAAATCCTGGCGGAGTCACCTCAGCTGCTCATCTTTGAGCAGGAGAAAAATTACGTTCCAAGCAGTTTGTTCTATATAGTTTTATTGGACAAAACTGAAATTTGAGGTTGTGGCTGCAGGGATGTCAGATGTCTCTTGACACTTTCTCATGCACAAGAAAAGATTCTCCATCTCCACTACTGTTTTGTACCAGGATTCACCCAGATTTCACTCCCACCCATCACTCCAGTGGCCTTAATTTAGCAGTTGTGCAGAGAATTAAATGAATTAAGGGATCAGTTGGGCTGAAAAAGACTGGACAAATGTGAATTAGTTTTGCCCATTTTCTGAAAGTTTTATTATTTATTTCCCTTGTTTTTCAAAAGCTCAGACAGTGTGTGTTAGGGAGAAGTTCATTCTTGTTGCCCTCAAGTATCCTCTCTCCCCCTGGCATCAATAGAGTACACAGTTTATAGACCAGAGAGTCTAAGGAGAGAGATTTTATTTGCCAGGTTTTATTGGCAAGTATCATCATCCTGGAGCTTGGCAGCGTTTAGCGATAAAATATCAGGCTAAATATTTAGCTGATTTTCCATAAAGATAAGTGAGCTTGAACGTGTACTGTACCTTCCTCTTTGAAGACTAAAGCTACATTTTGGTTCAATTTTTTCATAGTGCAACTTCTGTGATGAGAGTTTACTACTTAATTAATTCCAGTTGAGGAAGCAAATGTTTCTTTTGCTATTGCTGGTTTAAAAGCATGGCTGCTTTTCAGGAAAGAATAAATCTGTGTGTAGCTCATGGAACTGGCAGTGACTGCGTAATGTATTCGGCTCTAGCAAGGCGATTGATTTGATCACAGTGTTTCGGGGCCAAACGAAGTCGCCAAAGGCACAGATTAGGTGCGCAGGGAGATTTTCAAAAGCAGCAGGTTGCCTCACTCCCACCAAAACCATGGACATCTTCAAAAATCTGGTCCCAACTACCTGCACAGGGAGATTTTGATAGCGTGGCCCTCTAGCAGATCAACTACCTTGAAGGGTGGGTCCAAAGAGGAGGGAGCTGGACTGGTCTCAGTGGGGGCAGATGGCAGAACAAGGAGCAATGGGCTCAAGTTGCAGCAAGGGTTGGATATTAGGAAAATCTTTCCTACTATGAGGGCTGTAAAACATTGGAACCAGTTACCCACAGAGGTGGTGCAGTCTCCATCCTTGGAGGTTTTCAAAACCCAGCTAGACAAAGCCTTGACTGGAATGATGTAGTCGGGGCTGGTCCTGCTTGGAGCAGGGGGCTGGACTAGATGTGACCTCCTGAGGTCTCTTCAACCCTCATTTTCTATGAACAGACGAAAATATGGCTGGACCCATTGGGTAGAAGCTGAAAGTAGACATCTTAAAGTAGGAATATGTTTTGGGTTTTAACAGGGAGAATAATTAGCACAACTTGCCAAAGCAAGTGGTAAATGCACTGTCCTTTGGAGTCTTCCAGTGGACATCGAGGCTTCCTAAAAGACGTGGTCTAGTTTCAGAGTTGTGTTGAGTTGCATCGGAGGAAGAGTAATTCCTTGGACTGCAGGTGTGAGTGGTGCTATGGTTTTATGTCCCCCGAGAGGCCAGATTAAATGGTCCCAGATCCTGAATACTGCAAACTTTAAACCATTTAGGGCTGTTGCAGAAAGGATATTTGAGTTCAGTGGCCACCAACCCAAACCTGGGGATTGATTTTCTTCTCTGCCAAAGACTTACCATTTGAAGTCATTTAGCGCCTCGGTGCCTCCATTCCCTGTCTGCAAAATAGAGAGGCATGGTTACTCGCACTGGGGGTGTTTGCAACAAGTTCATTAAGGATCTAAGGGTCTTTATATGTCCCCGAGGTGGAGTCTACCCAAATCTGTTGCTCTTTGAGGCATACTGAGAAGCTTGTTGGTGCGATGGTGCATTGCTGGGGCAGTGCAGCAGTGCGGGTGGGATTTCTGACCTGTGGGAAAATGCAGCATGGGAAGAATGAAGCTAGCCATCAATTAAATGTCAGATGGTAAGTAAGAGGAAGGAAAGCATTGGTTTCCTCAATGTTCTTGTCTTGTTCGTGCTTCTTCTTGTTTGTGGCCTGTTCATGTGTGGGGTTTTTTGGGTTGGTTTTTTTTTTTACAAGCCTGGGATTTCAACATGTGTTTCTCATGGCTGGGGGCACTTCTCTTGCAGACAGAGAATGCCTCCGGGGTAGGCAAGATGGAAGAAGCAGCCAAGGCCTCCCACACCGCCCGCATGCTGAACATCATTGGGATCGTCATAGGAATCATTGTTATCATCTCCATGATCATCATCATCATCGTGACGAAGACTGCGCACTGACAGAGCAGCTTCAGCTGCCGAGAGCTCATCAGCCGCAGCCATCTGCATGTATCCATTGCAAGCTCCTTTTTCCTGACTCTAAGAAACGTGGGCCAAAGAAACCAACCATCTGAGTCTAGGCAAGCCCTGAGGGTGTCCGAAGATGTCCTGTACAAGCACCCACGGCCTGTCCTCGTGGAAGCATTTCTTAGCAGTTAATTGCTTTGGCTTTTCCTAGCTGTGCTTTCCCGATCCATGCACATGTACATGTAACGAGACATAATAAAAGTGACTTGTGTAAGTGAATCTCTCTGTGCTTCATCCCCACGCACGAACAGCTTTGCTTCCCATGCTGCTGTGAGACGGCTGCCCTTTTCACGATGCTTCCACCTTCGTCAAGGCACAGGATGGAGAGTGACAGCAGTACTTGACCCCTCTGGAGGATGTCTTAGCCTCCTGGTTCCTCAAAACACAAAAGTCCCATTAACTTTAAAAGGATGTGAGCACATGTGGACTTGCTTTGCTGAATCAGGAGCCTTGTAGCCCAAATCCAAGATCCAGTGATAGTAATAGGAGCCTTGCTGGTAGCTTCAGTAGGAAAACATTTTCTTTCCTTCTTGAAGCATGAGTTGCAGTGACCAGCCCTCAGGGGCCTTGCTCTGGGCAGGGCCTGGCCTGGCCTGACTCCCCCAAGCAGCTGCAGGACCAGGAGAGACACTCTCCCATCCACTTCCTCTGTCTGTTCAGGCCCCTGCAAATGGCAACATCGACAGGAAGGGTATTATCGCAGGCTGGAGGGGCATGGAGTATCTCTTTAGATCTGGGGGATTGTTTTGACCCACCTTGTTTCCTTACAAGCCTTACAAGACCTTGATACCTGGACAGAGAGATCACGGAGCAGGTCAAGGAATCTATTTCTAAGCATCTGAAGAAAAATAATGTGATGGGGGCGGAATAGCCAGCATGGATTCACCAAGAGTGAGTCTAAAGTAGGGTTAAGATCCAGAACGGCCTTGATAAACTGGAGACATGGTCCAAATTTACCAGTGGACACAAACCTGGAGCCTCTTGCATGCAGTACCAGGTTGGACAGTCTCCGGCACCTGGGCAGGGAGTAGGGCGACGTGTGCATGGGAAAGCATGTTCAGACGACCTCTTCTGCAAACAGAGAGGTCCAGCATGTGTTCCCAGACTGCCACTCCGGCCTCTCTGGCCAGCACTCATATCTCTTTCCCCTGTTTCCGAGCACGGCTGATGAGAGCCAGACGTGTATCGAGGCCATCCTGTTTTCCCTTACGAATGCAGCTTCAGGCTAATCCTCCTCTTGGGCCTGGATTCCAGGAATCCGGCACAGCTAACAAGAGTTATATGCAAAGGCCTCCACTGCCAGTAACCTGGTCCAGCTGGCCTGAAAACACATCTGTTGCCTCTTTTCAGATTCCCTCGGCGTGGGTAGGCACTGCTTGGAGCGCGTTGTGCAAGACTGTGCGTGTGTGAGCTTGGCAAGCCTGCAATGGGCGCCTGGCAAGAAAGAGCCAGGTGTTGCTGGCTGGATGCGGTGCTGTCCCCGCCACTCACACCTGTGGTATTAACTGCTCCCTTGACCACCCACTGAGCCTCCCTGCACCCCGACCTGGCCACTGAGCCTGGTGCTAGCTCCTCACCTGCATGCAAGCCCTGTATAGGCCCTGTGACACCCCACGAAAGACTGCCTCAGGGATATTCCTTGCTCGGGACAAGTCAACGGGGAGGAGATGAGCTGCGTGCAGCACACAACACGCTGAGTGCGAGTGGCTCATGTTCGGCGCCTCTAGGGTTGAGATCTGCCCGGTAGACTTCTCCCTCTCCAAAGCGGGTGGGCGTCTCCCATCATGCTGGAGTACACTGAGTCCCTGCCAAGGCAGATGCATTCCTGTTGCTATTGTAATCGTTTCCTGCGCTGCCAGATACCGTTCCCCCACTCCTCTGTTTACACATATCAGCTCTCAGACCAAAATCAGAGCGGCTGGTGCTGGGCAACCCGCCCCCCGCCCGTGTTGAGAACAATGGGGAAATGAAGCGTGTCCGAGTACGTACCCTAACGAGAAGCTGCCGGAAGCAGTGGACAGAGCCTGCGAGCCAGGCCCAAGCTCTCACTGAGCTGCAGTTAACACTTTGCATTTGGGTTTTGCTGCCGTAGGGTGATTCCAGAGGGGGGAGAGGTCAAGGGCTTACCCCAGCCCTTGCAGATGTGGTCGCTGCTCTGAGCATCCTGCACATCTGCGATGCGCACCTTGGGGCTGACCCCTCCTGGCTAGGAATCACGGGAGAGCACTTCTCGCCACGTTCCTTTTGCGTGCAATGCTGGGACGCGTTCCTTAAGGGCAAGAACGGACCGAGACAGGGTACGTTTCCATGCCACGACCTTGTGAAACTGCTTCTGCAATGTTCCCAAGGACTGGATCCAGGGGTATTGGAGAGGAAAATGCAACAGGGTACTCTGTGTGCGAGGGGTGGTTGTGGGGTAGCCATGTCCTGCACGTGCTCGTGTGCATCAGGCAAGCAGGGGCAGCACGGGGTTCTTCATGACTCACCGGTGCTCATCCCTCTGCCGATACTAGGGCCCGTGGTAGCTTTCAGGCCCCAACCTGTCCGTTCCCACAGGTCTCGGGGTTTCATTCCCAGGGAAAGCTCTAACAACCGTGGCCCGTTCAGAGGCTTGTAGAAATTAACCCTGCTGGTTGCACAGGACTGGCCATGCGGGGTGAGTTAGGAGCAAGGGCTCCGCGTGGCTCTGTGACTCCTCCCTCTCGCTGCTTTGTTTTATTTATTAATGCAGTTGTCCTGTCCCTAGAAACCACCTCTGGCTCCTCTACTGAATCCACTAACATCCTGGCAAAAAGCAAGGGAGGAAGGGAGCCTAGAATAACACTTCAGAACTGGCTGAGGTTTCCAGCTGCTTTATTGATCAGTGGAAGGTAACTCTCGACCAAACCATGAACATAAAAAATGCGTGGGAGATTCAGAGCAAACCAGTGAGGCATCAAGCAGGCTCCCTTCATGCTGGGCAGAGCTCCTCAGTGTGCCTCCTGTTATAGCAGGGAGTGGAGATCAGAGAGACCAGGCAGGGGACCAATTTCCAGAGGTTGCCTGTGCTGCCATCCGGCAAGAAAGGAAGAAACGTTCATGTCTGGAGCTTGAGCAACGTGAGTCAGCATCCCAAGAGACTGCGCCTTGGCTCCGACCACACGCTCCGCCCCGCCAAGCAGCACCTGCATTTCTCTTCCCCTTCTGAAACACGGGTTTGAGTTAGCAGCGGTCGGGGGCCTAGGTACGGGCAGGAAATGGCTTGAGTCACCCTCAACACTGCAGAACAGGATGTGACACCTTCCATCCTTTTTGTCTGTTTCTTCAGGCTGCAGGGAGGGGCTGTTTGTAGGAGAAATGCAAAACTAGAGGTCTTGGTTCAGAGACAATACCCTTTATTAGATCAACTGAGAAATCGCAAAAAGAAAAATCGTTTTTTTTCCAGGAGAAGCATTCATGCAGACAGCAGCCTGTGGTAGTGGCCATGCGGTGCTACCCCAAGGCAGGGATGTTCAGGGTGAGTCAGCTGGGGTAAGGGAGCTGTATGTAGCTGCATGGCCTGGTGATTGTGACCTTGTGCAGGGTGGCCTCAGCCGGGTGCCCTTGGCCATGCCCTCAGTTGTGTCTGCCTTGGCCGGCCCCCTGGGCAGGCATCCCAGAGCCATCATGCCTGGGCCACAGCAAGAGTCCCCTGTTCTGCAGTGCTGCTGAGTCACCCTTTACATCCACTGACAATAGGAACCGGATCTTTTTGCCCCTTGGTCCAGGGGTGGCAGTAGCAGCCTGTTATTTGCAGAAGACCAAGCAGCAAGGCCTGCACAGCTGAGGCATTGGAGCTGGACTAGACATAACACAGGGGTGTTGGGGTCAGCCCTGCATCCCCACTCTGGGCTTCTCTGATTCAGTGGGTGTGCTGATACTCAGTCACCTGCAGGCTGGACTTTCTCCTGCTCATTTTTTACCTGACTCACACGGCCTCTCGCTTGCATGCAACCAGGTAGACCAGGCCTGTAAAGTCTGAACAGGTGGCTGCAGCAGACTGCTGAGTCCTCTGGATAGACTTGATGTTAAACCCAGCATCTCTCATGACTTCCTCCACCAACTCCTGGTCCAGGCATAGGACGGAGAAGCTGTGCTTGCCAAAGTGTAGTAGATTGCTTTTAGAACCGCTACTATCACCAGGTGCCCCCTCACCTTTACCAGGGAGCTGATGTTCTTGGGCCCGTGTACATGCCACGATTTTTGCCCTTTCACGCGCTGCAACTGTGTGTCTGCTTGCACAAGTGGGATTTCCTGACGCTTTAAAAGTCTTTCTTGTGCATTAAACTAAAACTCCTCAGAAGTAGTTTAGTTTGGCTTGCCAAGAATTAAAGCATCATGTCCATGGATTCATGGTGTGCAAACACAAAGGCAGTCAAAGATATGTAATGAGCCTCTTTGTCCACTAGATGGCACTGCAACTGTTTGTAGTTCACCCCTTTGAATTGCTTTCACTTTCAAATTGCTTCCACCTTTTTTGTGTATGTGGCTTTTTTTCTTGTTTGCTGGCTTCCTGCTTCCACAGCTGTGTGGCAGGGCATGGGCATGGGCATGGGCACGGAGTTGGTGTGGGGCCCCAGGCCGGGGTGTGTGTGAGGCGGGGGGCAGTCCTTCCCTGCAGCACTGGCCAGGGGCCTGGTTTAATTTGTTTGAAAATCTAGAGTGTGTAAACACAGATGCAACGCTCCAAGGCTTAATTCATTTGAAAACCTAGTGCATGTAAACACAGATGTGACGCTCCAAAAGAAACAAGTTTAAATTGTATAATTCTATTTAATTTAATGAGGATGAAAACCAATGGTGTGTACAGGCACACCTTCAGAGCAGCAAGGAAGGTGCCCAGGCCTTTGCAGGCAGTTTCTAAGGACAGGGAGCAAAGCAGGCAGTTAGCCGGAGGCAGCGTCATGGGGGCCGTAGGGTTGGGTTTCCTGCATTTTGCGCCCTGCTTCACTTTCGTCTCACTTTCTCCAGAGAGGAGCAGACGGGCTGTGACACACAGCGCTGCAGAAAGCTGAGCCATCCTGACCCTGGAGGGTCCATAGTCCTCATTTTTGCTTGAGGTTTTATGGATGATTTGCTCTCTGTTTGCCCTGACAATAGCACACCTTTTTCCCCTTTTACGATGCTTGTCTGGTGGGTGGCTCTATAGTGTCCCTGGGTTGTTTTTTGTTTTATTATGTTTATAGCACGGGTGGCA